CAACAACGTAACTGGTTCACCGTTATCCCAAAATCCCACTACCGTTCGCGGACATACCTCACCTTAACAGCATCCCCACGAGCAAGGCCAATGTTGTCTGGTCTTATGTCCCGGTGAAGCACCACGGCACCTTCTCGTCTCAAACGGAACGTTCCGCATTCCAGCCGGTGTTTTCCGTAGGGAGGGACGCGCGGGTACAAAAGGGGTATGAGGGGGGGTCGTGAGACAGACAGACAGACGCAGGTGCGGCGATTCACCAAACACAACACTCAGAGACCACCCTAGGATACGGGGGTATTTGCCAATCACGACTTCGAGACCGCCGCGTGACATCCACAAGCACCTTTTATTGTCTGTCGCAAAGCGTGTTCTGCTCGCGAGTGAGAGTCACAGCAGCAACAGCAACAGCAACAGCAACAGCAACAGCAACGGCCACGGCCACGGCAACACACAACGCACCCATCGCACGCACCTGGGATGGCGTCGTTGTGCAAGTACTGCAGAGCCTCCGCCACCTGCAACACCCTTCCCAGCGTGTAGTTCAGGTCCTTCGTCAACCGCCGAAACCCCTGCTTGAGTGTCCTGCTCAAGATCGTCGGCACGGACAGGGTAGGCAGCAGCGTCACGTTGGCGGGATACACCGGTCGCGTTTGACGAAAAAAGTGGGAAGGAACCGTTGCGCGTGTGGCATAGGTGACATATGACCAGACCCACCGCCACCACCACCCCAGTTTGCAACGCGACAGAGATGGAAAGGGGCAGTGGCTCCACATTTGGCGGGTAGATAGGAGCGGCGCTACGTCTTGCATCATGTCGGAACAGGTGCATCGCCAAGGAACACAGGACAAGTTACCACACACACACGCAAGCACACACACGCCTCCAAGGGGCGAGTTTTCCGGTCCGTTTGTTCCACAAAATATCGAGAGAGAAAGACAAGGCCGAGCGATTCGTCTTGGGGCGAAACCTGAACCTTTCCCGGCAGATAGATTCCTACTTCCTCGTTGAGGCATTGAGAAGAAGATAGAGGCGTACCCTGCCTCGGAGACTTGTTGTTGTTCCCGGAGATGCAACGAAACGCGTAGGACATGGACCAACTACCGCACGCACCGGTAGGCCGATGGACCGCGCATCTGCTCCCTATCGCTGAGAGCGTGGAACGTTCCCAGGGTTCCCTCGGGCAGGTGCTCCAGGAGAAGAAAACGTCTGCCTTCGTGGGTGAAACCTGCTCCCAGCAACTCGACCACGTGAGGGTGGTTCACCTAAGGTGTAGGGTTACGGCGAAGGGGCTAGGATAAATGTCAAGGAGGGGGGGAAGCTTGCCGCTAGCGTGCCGCGGTGTTCACCTGCGGAGTGCGCACGGTTTTCTGGTCCTGCAGAGAAGCCATCATTTTCGTCATCAATGGGCGATACCACAGCGGGGGGCCCTGTTTAGTGCCCACGCAATTGACCGGCACTATATCGGACACCGGCAAAGTTTCAAAGCACAGATGACTTGGTGATGATTCAGTCTGTGCCAGCCGAACAAACCGTCTTGCACACTATTCAACCGGCACCAAACAACCCTCCCCCCACTATACTCCTTTCCAACTTGAAGCAAGTTCGGTCGCGTCCGTGAGCTCGCCTGTCTGAGCACGTTGAACTCTGCCTCCAGCTGTCGCTCCGCCTGGTCCTCTAGCCTGCCCTTGTTCCTCGGCCTCGCCACCTTGGCGATGACCTTCGCCTTTCGCCCGGGGATGCTAGCCGTGAACACGGTGCAAGTCAACCCCTGGACAGAAAGCACAAGAAAAAAATAAAAAAAATACACGAGAAGCCCAAAACGTTTCGCGACGCCATAGGTTGAGACGAGAGCTTCGATTGAGGGAGCAGCAACCAAAGCCAAAGCTATGCGCGGTGTGTATCACAGGTTGAGAGGAGAGGATTGATTGAAGCACCGCAGCTCGATTGCGTCCTCGCCCGACGACGCTCAATCGAAAGCGATTTCCACCCAACAAAAAAAAAACGATTTGACCCTCCCGTCTGGTTGGTTGAACAACTCTGCCTTCCTTTTTTCGAAATATCGCCCACATCTCAACCGTAGGAACCTTCCACGCTTCCCCACTACAACCATTTTGAGCTTTCTATTAGACGGCACACTCTTACAACCCATACATGCATCCCACGTAAAACCCTAAGTACCTTCCCGATCTCCCTGACGTCTGTGAGCTGCTCCCACGAGAGCTGGTGGTTAGCCTTCCAGTCTGGGTCTTCAACGCCTGCCCAGTCATCCAACCTTAACACAAAAAAAAAACAAGAGTATGATGACGCCATCATGTTTTCGATTCAGGAGGGGAAGAACGTTCTTCTTCTTCGCATTCAAGTGTACAAGCCTCCTCTATCTTCTGAAGCCTGCATAAGTGAACGTTTCTGGAAACAGGTCGATGTGACTCAGGAAAGCCAGGTAGGTGGTCACTGAAGGGATATATAGGTGGGCCTCTCCCTAATGTCGCATATCAGAAATTGAGCTAACCTAAGTGGTGGTGCGCACTGTACCTCGATATCAACACCCGCCAAGAGTAGATGCAACCTACGCTGTAACAAAGATCAACCAAGGGGAACCGGGTAAGTATGCCGCGCCGCACACCATCAAGACAAACAGCTTCACCAACAAACGGCAAATACCGGTCGTGCCAACACAAATAGCATCACCACGCGTGGCATTTTCGATCAACGAAATCTGAGTTAGGGCAACAGCAGCACCGTCACGCACCCCACCGCTTGGTGACACCGCTATACAAAAGTAGCAAAAACAGCACCGACATTATAAATAGCAACACCGTCGGTAGCGATGTCGGCAGAAGCAGCAGCAGCTTCAAATTACACATCACCACCACACCGGGCAAAGGTAATTCCAGCGATATTTACATCGCCACCGTCGCCACCACCACCACTACCACCACCAACAACAACCGCAGCCAATAAAAAAAGCAAAAACCAAACAGGTCTTCGAACAAGCGCGGTTCCTCCTCACCCGTCCATCATCGGCGTAGACAAAGACCGCACGAGCTTCACCAACAGCTCCTTCGATGCTGAAGCCACCACTCCTCGCCCAACCGCCGGAGCCGCCGCAACGACAACCTTCTCGCCAGATCCTGTTGTTGCTACGGGGGGCCCAGCAGAATCGACCGGGGGGGAGGGGGGGTTGGGCGGGGGGGGGTAGGAGAGGAGGGACGGAGACCAGTCGGAAGATCAATGTGGGAGGATGTGAGAGAGCGACGTTCGCACAAAAAGCGCCGCACGGGCGAGATGTACAGTAGTGTGGTTAGGGAAGTGTTGTTGGCTCGTAGGAGGTGACGTGTTATGTAGGGACGACGAAGATAGAAAAGAAGGGAGCGCAGCAACATGGCCAGCCGTGTGGGAGCTGAGCACGAGAAAAAGGTCCGCACCATTCTTGGGCCACATTTCAACGGTGCTATAATAGACAAAAATGAATCGTTGAAGTACTTGTGACACGTGCGCGTGTTGGCTCGCGAATATTGTTTGTTGGCATCGAAAGCACACAAAAATGGTGTGGAATTCTATCTTTGTATCTAGATGGGCGTCGGGAATTGCCCATAAGCCGGGATACCCCTGGAGCTCCTGCTAAAACAAAAAACGCAACTCAGGCGCATCCTCAGTGTGTCAGTAAAACTGGGACACGTATATATTCCTGGCAAACCACGTTAAACAAGGGGCAAGGGCAGGCCAGCAGCGTAGGGAATCCGAACGGGCGTTCTGCTGCCGCTTTTACTCAAAACAAACAAGTGAGCCAGCCCCTTGGTACGTAGTCCGTGATGTGCCTTGCGCTGACATGCGGCGTGCGGTGTACTCTAGTATATATAATAGCAGCAGCAGCCCCAACGCACGGAAATGGGGTCACTTTGCGCCTGTACGAGCTTGAGGTGAACACGAAACTTACACTTGTTTGGTCATTTAATCCACACACGTGCTCCTGCTGTTGTAAGAGGAGCCCCTGAGCTACAGCAGCACTACTTGTACACTGTACAATATCCTGCTATTTAGCACGCACTAGGTCTACCTGTAGCGGAATATCTTGCCTACAGCAGTGCTTGCCTACAGCAGTGTATTGAGAAAGTTAGGGACTCGCTGCAGCATGGGTGGGGGACCATCTCCTAGATAGAGAGGTTTGACCCCGCCACACACAAGAACATCACCGAACAGTGGTGACTCAGCACATCCCGCATATCGATTTCCACCCCTACCACACCCAGGCCTAATAGTAGTCTATGTTCCCGAAAGCTTACTTCAACGTCCCCCGGGAGAGCGCGCTCAGTCTACAGCAGTAGGTTGCAGTTGACATGAGAGTTGCGCCGCTGTCACTAACCTTCCTTTCCTGAGGCGGTGTCACCAGCGTCCGTCTCTGCTGTGGTCTCGATGTCAAGGTAACAAAAGTCTTCGTCCTCCACGCCGAGAGTTCCCTGTTCGGCCACGAGGGTGCTCCCGCCGCTGCCGCCACCTTTGCTGCTGGTCGCCTCTGCTGCTGGTGCTGCTGGTGCTGCTGGTGCTGCTGGTGCTGCTGGTGCTGCTGGTGTGGCTTCATGCCGCTGCTGGTGCTGTTGCTCTCCAGCACCGGTTGGGCCACCATCACCATCTGTCTCAGCAACGACAGCAGTCGTCGTCACGGGTGAAGCGTCCATCTGTGTCGTCTCGTCCTGGTGTGCTCTGGCTGGTACCCTCTACGCTCGTTCTGTGTGACCAGCAACACTGCTGTTGCGCTGTGTTGGGCACGTGTTCCGAAAAGCAAGTGGAGATCCTGGTAAAGGAGCCCCGCACGTGGTATCCGTGGTTTTTCGTGCATACGCGAGTATACTTGGAAGAGCTGTCTGCGCAACCCCCCCGTCTTGCGTGCTTTCGCAAGGTAGCAGGGTGCCAACGGCTGCTACATTCACACACCTCGCACGCCGCCCAAGGTGAGATCGACAGGTCGTAGGACCAGAAGTAGCGGAATCCGTGTCAACAGGCTGCGTGCCCTACGGCCGCGGCGCCTATCGTGCACAGAAAGCCAAGTATTTCGCACGCGCGGAAAACCACATCTTTTATCGCCGCCGGCGGGGACCATTTTCAAACGGCAAAGTCAAGTGTTGTGGTTTGACACTTGCCAGCGCGCGCGCGACCCTCTCACACAAGCAAGCTCACACATATTTACCCCCGCCTCTCCCCTGCCCAACCGACCGCTGCTGGCGTTGAATCGCGACAGCAGTCCTCGTGTCCTGCTGGTGGATCTAGGGGTTCCCAACCATCGCCCTTTGCCAGGCGGGCGTAGATGAACCGCGAAGCATCGCAGCAGGCTGTTGTTGCCGGGGCAGGAAAGAGAGGATTGAGATTTGGCTCTGCTGGTGCGGACATTCCGAAAGGTGAGCGATTGATCGCCATGCACGACGCTTGCGTGAGTGGTGACGAATCGCTCTAGCCTGCTGGGTAAAGGACACTGCTGCCTCTGCTCGTACGGTTTTTTGCGGCTGTATGTTGTATGCAATTCTTTTCCCGGGGCGTTGGTCCCTTATGCACGAGCTGGTGCATGTTGTGCCCTCTAGTTGATCCGGGAGAGAGCGATTGATTGTTTTCCAGACCACCACTAGTAGCAAGATCCACGGGGGTACTGCTGTAGATCCGTTGTACCACGGAGAGATGATGAAACACGTAACTCCTACTCGCCCAGCTCTTTGGAGCGCCGCCCCTGCTTGTCAGACCGATGCTCACAGACCTCCGTGGGCAAAAACGCCTTTCCTTTTCCATTATCGGCCTCGTTGTCCGTCCGCCCTTTTGTTTGTCCCTCTGCTCCCTCCTCTTGTGGCAAGCAGGGCAGCTTTCCTCCGTGAGTGCTTCCGCCGGTGCTGCTGTGACCGCATCCACCTCGCCGGCTGATTCGCGCTCCAACTCGGAGAGAGGCAGCCCCGACCCTCTGCTGCCGCCGCCTCGAGAATTGGACGGTGGTGTATCAGCAACTGCTGTGCAGGTGTGCCTAAGACGCATAGCGGTCTATTGTGGGTATGTGGAGAGCGCTTACTGCAGCAGTAGATGGTTGCACCGCTGCCTCCCTCCCTAGCTGAGGGTCGTGGACTCTTTGGCATGTAAATTAAATACGCGTGTGTCGTGTACGTACGGCGGCGCGCGAAGTTGTTGTCGGCAGAGCGCTCCTATGGGCCGTGCTTTCAGAAACGAGAGCACGGGGCAGCAACAGCCGTAAGAACGCCTCCCGGTTTCGAGACACATTCGAGGCAGCTGCAATACATTGCGAGACGCTCAAATGATCCTAAATCTTTGGGTTGTTGAAAACTAACTGTATTGTATAGCTGCTCGGTCCGGAGCACCGATCCAGGAGGTTTTTTTTTGCAACTATTTATACTGGTGTACTGCTGTTTTTTTGTTTCTGAAGGCAAGGCAAGCCCTGTGGACCTTATGCCGAAGCAAACTTCGCGCGCCGCCGCTAGGCGTGCGCGTGTCGCACGTCGCGTTTTGTGTAGGAGAGAAGGTTGGGGGATTTGTCGTACGTGCGCACCCTGCTGCTAGCGGTGTTGGTGTTGATGGACGTGTGGGCAGAGAGGGGGGTAAATCGCTATTTTGTAGTGCTGGGGCCGAGGCCGTCGCTTGTCAACAATTTATCGTGTACCACAGCACTATTATAGTCCTCTGTACCTCATCAGCAAACCCTTGCGTGTGCCGCTACATGTCCTTCCCGTTCTCCCCCTTGCTTGCTGATTTGGTTCCCCGTGTCTGTCCCCAAAAAATAATCGGGAAGGCCGGGAACGCCTCCGCCAGCGAGCTTGACCCGAGCCACGGCAACAACATGAACGACGTGAGCAACAGCAACACGAGCGGCGCCGCCGAGGAGGGCGAGGAGTCGTTCGACATGCTTGCGGGCATGCCGCCCACCCCGGGCGGCGGCCTGGTAGCACCTCCGACCGCAGGCGACGAAAGCTTCGCGGACATTCTGGGGGCCGAGGACCCCTCCCCCAACACGCCTGCCGCGGTGGCGTGGCAAGGAGTTCGCCGTTCGCCTCGCCTCGCCTCCCAGGCTGCCGCTGCTGGCAGCGCGGGCGCCGGGGGCAGAGCTATCAATGGGGTGAAGGGTCATCGGGTTGGGTTGGCGGCGGGAGGCGGGGCGGGCACCGGTGGCCTCACCCCGTACAGCGGCCGGCGCGGTGGCGGGCCGAGGCAGGCGTTTCCGGAGCGGGCGTTCACGCCCGGGACCGCGCGCGGGGACGGGGACGACGCAAACGCCTCCTTCTGGTGAGGACTTTTCGAGCTCTCTCTTTGATGGGTCGTCGCAGGTCATGTGTACCTCAGAACGAAAGAAGCGGAGAGATAGTCACCCCCTCTATAGACCGACTTTCGAAGCCCGGTTGGGTTGCTCCACAGCCAAGGGGGTGCGGAAAGAGCCCGATACATGTACGGAAAGCCCTCGACGAGATGTTTCCAAAGCCGCAATTTTTTTTGTGTTGGCACAATCTTGTTTGTGAAGCAAGAGAGCTTTGAAAATTGGTGTACAGAAGTAGGGGGGTGCCACATCTCCGCCTCTCGCGGTAGTCGGTCGCCGGAGAAGGTGATTTAGCATCACTGCTGTTGTTCGCGTCTCTCGATGTCGTCCTGCATCTGTTGTTGTTTTGGGTTGTTTCGAGGCAGTCGACGGGACGAAGGCTACCGCCATACGTTGCACCCTTGTACGTGGTGGTGTCTGCTGTAGACACCCGTCTTTGATCGGCATTGCGGTTTTGAACTGTTCGTGACGACTGGTTGTAGTGATTGCTTGAACTACTTTGCGTTAGCTCTCACGTGTGTATTCACAACCGGTCTCCGGTGTATGTCGCTCGCTCCCCAACCCATGACATATGATGTGCCAGCACCGCTATCATGGGCTCTGTCGATGGCAGCAGTGTCGGTGATCCCGGGAGCGCAATGAGGGGCGTTAACCTGTTCTCGGGAGCGAACGTAGACGACAGCATGGCGGGCGACTCCGACTCGACATCTCCGGTAGACGCGGGGGGTAAGGCGGGCGACCTGTCGATGACGCCGAGCTTTGACTTGAACTTGTCTTCCGTGGAGGAGCGCGTGGCGGGCTTGGAGCTTGGCGGGGATGCTACGACGGCGTCCCCGCCTGGTGCGAACGCCTCTGGTGTGGACGACGGCAATGCGGATGGGGTCACCCCCACGGGAGGGGATGCCACTGACGCTGATCTCGCCGTTGGGGAATCGACGTCTTCGCCTATTGCCGACGAAGGGACCGCTCCCGCTTGCACGGCCGCTCCAGCGCAGAAGCAGTGTCTAGAGCCTCCGTCCCCCGCTGTGGCTCCGCGATCGTCGGCCGCCCCTGCTGACGGTTCCCCCGCCGCCGCTGCCACCGCCTCCGGCAAGAGGGCCTCGTTTCCCCCGAAAGACACGGCGGCGGCGGAGGCGGAGGCGGCGCCGTCTGCGGAGGTGTCGCCGTACGGGGCGCGGGGTAAGCTAGGCGGCGGCCTGTCTACGAGCTCGACTTTCGGGGCGAGCAGCGACGACCGGGACGACGACTTCATGGCCACGGAGTTCGCCACCGATGCCGGCGTGGGGGCGCCCGTGGCGGAGATTACGCTGTCGACGCTTCCCAAGGTGGAGGAAACCCTCCCCGACCAGCAGCAGCAGCAGCAGCAGCAGCAGCAGCCTGCTCCGCCTGCTCCGCCTACTCCGCCTGCTGCTGTTGACACGGAGGGCGGTGTCGATGGCGCCGCCGCCCCCGGCGCTAGCGGCGGCGCCGGAGGTAGCGTTGACGCTGAGAGCAGCGTCATCCTGGACGAGATGCTGGTGGCCGCTACCGGTGGCGGTTTCGGTTGCGCCAGCAGGGCGGGGATGAATGCCCCCACCCCGGGCGCAGGAGCGGGCCCTGCGACTGCTGCTGCCGACAACGGTAAGGGCGGTGCGGCGGTGGTGGTTTTCGCCGTGGAGAAGGAGGCCATGGCGCTGGCGGCGGCGTGTGTTGCCGAGCAGGAGGCCCTGAACAAGGCGCCTGAAACGGCGGAGGCGGCGGCCACGGGAACGGAAAAGAAGGCCGCTGGCGTCGAGCGCGAGGGCGGAAACGAAGAGCCCGAGGTCGCCGGAGGAGAGAGCGGCGGTGACAAGAGGAACGGTGACGACGCGAGAAAGGGAAAAGCGCCCGCTGCTGTGCCCAGCAAGCAAGCCGTCGGTGGTGGTGGTGCCGAGGCAAAGCTCGGCGGTGGCGGTGGTGGCATGAAGAACGCCCGCGTGTCTATCTCGCGCGTGGCGGTGCCGGCCGCCGTCTCCGCGCGGCGCGGCAGCAGCGGCAGCAGCAGCCTTCGCCCGCCTTCGCCCTCGCGCAGTAACCTACGGCCCCCCTCTCCCGCGCGCAGCAGCGTGCGGCCCCCTTCTCCTGCACGCGGCAGCTTGCGGCCCCCTTCTCCTTCACGCAGCAGCAGCAGCAGCAGCGTGCGGCCGCCTTCCCCCTCGCGGGGCGGCGCCTTGAGGCCGCCGTCTCCTTCCGCCACGCAGCGCCGGCACTCGATGGCCTTCGGGTCCCGCGTTGACGGTAGCGGTAGCGCTGCTGCTGCTGCGGCGGCGGCGGCGAAGCGGACGGCAGCGGTCGAGGCGGCGAAGGAGAAAGCGGCGGCAAAGGCTAAAGCGGCGCCGGTCGTGGCGGTTCCTGTCAAGAGGGCGTCTTCGCGCGGAAGGGACAGGCTCGGGCGGGAGAGGGCGAGCGTGGGTGGGGTCAGCCGCGGGAGGGATGCGGGCACCAGCGCCGGGGGCGCTGCTTCTGCGGGTGAGGCTTGCTTTGTGTGTAGTTCGGTTGAAGTGGATGTGAAAAAGGGGGAGCATATGAAGTAGAGTCTGGAGAAGGGTTAGGTTGCAATGTTTCGTACTCAAAGAACTTGAACCCTAGTGTTATATTTTCTACCGTTCCTCCTGTAATTGCCTTCAATTTTTAACCACAAGGGTTGTGAACAGTTGTTTCCTTTCCCCTTTTTTGTGTTTGCTCACGACTGTCTTTGCGCTCACCACCTCTGGATTGAAAATTGTTCACTCTAGACAGTTTTCGAACCAGCAATCTTAAAACGCATTGACATCGTATGCATACTACCGGCGCGATAGGCGAGACTGATGCACTTGACATGGTTGAGCTTGGTATGCTCAACAAGACGAGCACTCACAATGAGGGACGAGGGTTGCAATTGTAGAGTGATATGCATACGGAACGCCAGGAGGAGGCGGACAAGAAAGGAAGGAGTCAGTCCTCACGTGGACTATGGCGAAGAAGCATTGAGAACACCACGGTGTGTTGCTTGTCCTTGAGGATTGAGTGCTGTAGGGAGTAGAACCTGGAGTGCGAAGTCTCGAGACGACAGGAAATATACTCGACTACTTGACTCAAATCAAAGCTGCTGTAGTGCGTGGGCCCCAACTCATCATCTTCCGTTGCACTTCCTCTCTCCCTCTCTCTCCCTCTCTCCCTCTCTCCCTCTCTCCCTACCCCCCACCC